CACAAAACCCTATGCTACTCCACTGTATCAGTTTATTTGTGACCTGTTATATGTGCTGTGCTTCCTACATGGAGTCATTTGCATCCAGTTCCTTCCAAATCAAAGCTGCATGACTCTTCCTTTGAAATTAGCCCTCCAAAGGTAGAGAGATAAAAGGCTCAAATTTTTCTCAGGTAACAGCGCTTTATTTGCAAGGGGATGTTGCTGCCTCCAGGACAACTGCTGCACACCAACAAATCTCTTACTACAAGGCTGATATGACCACTTTGCAGACTTCCCTTCTGTTTAGATTAACTGTTAATAACAGGGACAGCTGTTGCATTTTTTGAGAAGATAGGGCACACAGAGATTGGTGTTGAAAACTGGGCACAACCTGCACAAAACCCATGCCAGAACATTCAGCTTTCTCCAGCAAGAAGATTCCTGAGAACCAAATCCTGATGCAGCCCCTGCGCTGCCCTGGGTATTCCCGTATCATTTATCTCCTTGTTGAAGCTTCAAAGCTCTTATTTGGGAAGTTGGGAAGAAGCAGTAGGTCCCCCTTTGCTGCAGGGGTGTCCCTGCAGACCCACAGACCCCCAGTGCCATGACACAGATGCAGTGCAGACATCAGGGGTGCTGCCACCCCCAGCTCCTGCCAGAACTGACCCAGAGCTTCACTCCTGACCTGGCTTGGATTGGAGTCCATGACCTAGAGGTGAACTGCTCCATATCCCATATCCAGTTTCCCACTGAGTTTATTTTCTGGTGTGGCAGATCAAAGACTGCTGTAAGGGGAAAAATCTATCAAAGGCTCAGCACCCTTACATAGATCCAGCTTGCTTTTATGTTTACTTTCAACAAGCATACTCCTTCCTATTGTTCAGCAATCACTTTAAAATGGACAATTATCAGATTTCCCTATTAATGGGAAAAGTCAGGCAATCATAAATCTTGAAATGTGCTACTATCTGCAAACAGCATGTATCACATTATGGAAAAACCAATCTGTGGAGCAAAATATTACTGAGTGACCATGCCTTGGCTCAGCAGCTGGTTTTAATTTTAGCAGAGGATCCCCTCTGCTTCCCAGCATCCAGCAGCACTGCTCTTCCCACTGCTTCCCTGTAAGCACTGCAAAACTACAGTGTTGGGCTCACACTACAGAAATTCAGTGCTGCAATCAAGGAGAACTTCTGCATCTAAGACAACTGCCTGCCCCTCACTGCATCTGCCTTGTCTTTCATTCCATCCAAGAATGGTTTGGGTTGGAAGGAACCTTAAATATCACCCTGTTCCACCCCACTGCCATGGACAGGAACACCTTCCAATAGACCAGGTTGCATCCAATGTGTTTGGAAGAAGTGAAAAGTTCTTTTACTTCCCTTATATAGTGACCTACACAAAGCTGAACCTGGTCAAGTGACTGGTGGATACACTGCCTTTCAAGCCCTGGTACTCCCTTACTGCACAGGGAGGAAAAGAATAAGGGCACACAGATCAAAAGATACAGGCTGGTCTTCTGGATAAAGCTGCAGACTGTCATTCAGGAATTTCCAGGTGGGATTCTGGTCCTTCCCATCAAAAAGGGTTGGGATCTAAAGCAGCCATGAGGACAAATCTGATTTTTGCAACAGTTTACAAGTGGCTTTGGACACATTGCATAACCAGTGGGAACCCTCAGTTCCCATTCCCTGTTCTAGCTGGGATACTTGTACCCAGTTTACTAGGATGTCTCATGAATTATCTGGTATTTGGGAAGCTCTTAAATCCATGTAAGTCACATGTAACAATTAAATGTGATCCAGCTTTTAGATCAGAACAACAGTAATTCAGAACTGAGCACATTTTGTTTTGATTTTCCTAAGACTGTCTGAATTCACTGAGACAAGTGACAAAGAAATATGATTCACCACATTCATGACTACTTCCAAAATGGTTTACTTTAATCTGAGCAATTGGAAAAACGTTAAAGGCAAAACTGCTTTACCCAGCTGACTTAAAAAGGTTGTTTCATTCCACATTTCTGTTTTCAATAAACATCCCAGGATAAAAAAAATCCCCTGCAGCATATCTATGCAAAGGACAAAAAGGCGTTAAATCCAAAGTGGGGGCGGGTGGAAGAGATAAATAGTTTACTCCTATTATCTTTACCATATGTTCTATTCCAACTGGATACACATAAACAGCATGCAATCTTCAAGCTCAGCTTCAGACTCTTTGAAGTGACCTGACCATACTACTGATTTATTTCAAACTAACCTTTCTCTTTGAACCTTAGGTCAAGGTTAATTCCATAATAAAACATACCTTATACAGCTGGCTGTTCCAGTGGTGCTAGCAAGGAATGAAGCCCTCAGTCATAAGCATTTGTTTCACTGAGTGTGGTATTGTATTTCTATTTTCCCTTCCCTGTATTAATTTCCTTCACAGACCCTAGTTAAGGGGAAAAAAAACCTCTTTTCCGGTCCATGAGATCAATTTTAAACACACTGGAATTAAATGATGACATTTAAGCCACATTTCTTTGCTGAAATGCATCCGCCAACACCAGAAACTATTTTTATTACAGTCTATGTTTAATAATCAGATCTTCAATTTCATAAGAAGCCACACAGCTATGTTATTCAAACTCCTGCACTGGCAACGACCCTTTCAGTATCTTTTACAAAACCATCTCTGCACTGAATCACAGCAAATCACTAAGGATAGCTTTTCTATCTAAGAAAATAAAGTGGAAAAGAGAAACACATTTGAAGGGCCCTTCTCAAAAAACCAAAGGAGATTTCCTTGCCAGTGCCCCAGACACTCTTGCCTGCCTGTAAGTATCAAACCACACCAAACAGGGGTACAAAGGTATGGGAGAAGGCTTGAGATGTGAGATGCAGTCACTAAGAAATGCTGAGGTGCACAACACATTGCTTGAGCATTGCTCATCAGGTTGTTTTCCAGAGGACTGGAAAGATGCTTTTGAATTTCAGCCTCCAGCCCACAGCACACACTCACAGCACTTAATTAAAAAACAGCAATGCCAAAGCTAAACCAGAAATTGTTCCACATTTCTCCTGACTGCAGAGCCTTGCCAACACAGTGTCTCTTGGAGCTGTCAGGAGAGGGATGAATAGAAACCTTTGTTAGGGTTTGGGGTTTCTGCAAGTCATAAGCTGGAAAACTTCATCTACTGTAGCCAACCCTGAGGGGAATTGTGCTTGCCCTCCAAAGGAATGATGACATTATCCAAGCTTATCCTCCCCCATTTTGCAGGCCTGAGTCTACAGTGGTTGATGTTCAGCATCACCAGCACACCAAGGGGCACATCCCCTAAAACAGCCCCAAAAGCTTTCAGTACTTCATCTTTGGCTTAGGGGCAGCTTTGTAAAACAGGGTTTAGCCCAGTGTTAAACGAGTTAGAGCAGGCAGCACTCTCAGGCAGCATCAATACAGCAAACTTGTTATCTCATCAGTATCTGTCATTGCCGAACGCAGCTGAGCTTGCCGTAATGGAAGCACCATCCATTTGGAATCCCAAAGGTAGGCATCAGTTTTGGATCAATGCTTTCAGAATCTCCATTAACTATTACAGTGCCATTGATGTTCTAGATCTATTTTGGGTTAATTTCTTTAAACCATAGCAAGGCCACAGAAGGTCCTTCGCTGCATTTTGACTCTCTTGGAGTAACATAAAACGTGGTGCCTCGGGAAGCCCAGCATCCCCAGAACCTATGTGGTTCCATGGAAAACCTTTTCCCTCCAGCTCTCTATTCCCATTTCACCACATTGTCTTTCTCTTCCAGCTTCTCCTCAGGGACTATTGCCTACTCCCACTCCTTAATCACATGCCAGGACACTTCACTTCCAACAGCAGGGCCCCAGCTGGCAGTCCTGCTCTGTCCCAAAACCACAGCCCTGGGCATGTTGTAAGGTGAAAGATACAACATGCAGAAATTCCCAAACAAGAGAAACACCTTTGGCTATGTGGAGTGTCATTACCTGTCCCACAGACATCAAGAGCAATACTCCCTCTCTTTCCTCTAACACAGTAACTGGTATCTTAAACGAGGGCACTGGAATTATATCAGTACAAAAGCTCAAAATAACAATGTAAAATTCCACCCAAACGCATTGAAAGAGACATCTCTACCATTTTCTAATTTTCTTTAACAGGCACCAAGAAATATTACATCTAATGATTTATTAGTGAATGAAATCAGCCAATTAGACAGCCAAGGACTGATTTTTCAAAAGGACCACACAGAACAATTTAATATCATGGGAGATAATAAACATGTCCTGAGCTGGATCACTGAATGATGTCGCTAACAGCCTGTCAGAGATATCAGATATTTACAGCAGAATAAGGCACCACATCAGATAAAGTAAAATACATCCTCTCAAGGATATAGAAATATGGAAAGGAATCACTCCAGCTGCATTTCAAGTCTAGGTAATTTCCATAACTCCTGAGAAAAGGCTTTGTGTGGTGCTAGTTCTCTTCTTAAGGCACCCATCCATGCTGCTGGCATGTGGGAGACCCTCTGGAGCAAGCAAGTTGAAAAATAGCACAGATCTCACAGACTGGGCAATGTTTTAAAGATAAAAATATGTACAGGTTTTTTGTACACTAAACTGGGTAACATAAATGAAAGGCACTTTTAAAATAATTTTGTCTCCATGTTGGTATTAAATACGTCAGACCCAAGCAAGTATTTGTGCTGTCCTAGAAGTTTCCTATCACAGCCTTTTTGATGCAGCTGTTATGGAAAGATGCTTTTTTTGGATAAACTAGTAAAAAGCAAGTAAACAAAGCTACAACTCAATTCAATTATATGTATCCTTGTGAAATATCTTACAATTTAATGCAAACTAGGCTGTGATCTATCAGGTTCTATCCAAAATTTTGAAACCTCATCATTATTAAATGTAGTCAGAATTATTAAAAACTTCAAGCCATTCACCAGCTACCTCTGGAGATCCAGCTATGAGACGAAAGCCCAGTAACAGGTATTCAAAACTGACCTTACCATTTTTCTGAGCATCTGTGCAGTGCTTGTATCAGTTACTTCATGGATATGTGCAATATCCCTCCTGAATGAAGAAACCAAGAAAGATGTTAAAAGACATCCAATATTGCTATACATTTCCAAAATTTTACTCAGGACACCAACACCATTTGGGCTGAGGAGGCTTCTACCTTGATGATGGGGATTTCTAAGACACTTTGGGACTGGAAAGATGCTTCACAGCACTAACACCATACCAGCATTCCAGGGAGGAACACTGAGCCTCAATCTCAAGCAACATAGGGAATGAAACCTGATGAAGAGGTTCAACTAAAAAGTGAATTCCTCTCCCTTGATCCTGCAATGCCAGCCTGCAGAGATGACTCAAAAAACCCTGAATTTTTCCTCAAGACTATACATTTGGATGATAAAAGGAATTGTTGAGGAGCAATGACATCTACATATTTTTCACTTTAGTAAGTCTGTTAAAATTATAGCTACAGAAAACCAAATTTGACACAAAAAGCAATCTCCTTGGATGACTTTGGTCATGACCTTGGATGACCCTTCTGGTTAATCTGCTGTTTCACACAAGTGCAATGCCCAAGATGGGAGTTTGCATCTGCCATGCCCCAGCAGTGGAGGGCAGGGGCCTGGGACCCTCCCGATGCTGTGCAGAGGATGGAGCACAAGCCATCTGACATGGCCACAGCGCAACTAACACCCCAGCACACTGTCTGTGTCCCTCTCCTTGTCCTCCCTGCCCCATGGGCCTGACTGGGTCTATACCTGAGGCGAAGGTGACATTTTTCCCATGACCCATAACCCCTTCCAGTCTCTGAGAGGAAGATGCAATTGTTCCCTTTACCCCCTCCAGGTCACAACCTGAGAAGATGCTGTTGGACCTTTTAGGCCTCCCAGTTTCCACCTGAAGTGAAAGCACCATTCCTCCATATCCCTCTCCCAGTCTCTACCTTTGAAGGAGCTTCCATTTCCCCCTGTACCCCTCTTCCCAATCTCTACCTGAGGACAAGGTGCCATTCCTGTCCATACCCCTCTCCTGGTCTCCCTCTGAGGGGAAGATGCCATGGCCCACTCTACCCTTCTCTTGATCAACACCTGAGGGGACGGTGCCATTTTCCCACTGCACCTCTCCCACAGTCTCATCCTGAGGGGAAAGCACCATGCTCTCCTCATACTCTTCATCAGGTCATTACCTGAGGCAAAGCTGCCATTTCCTTTTGTACCCCTCTTCCGATCTCTGCCTGAGGGGAAGGCGCAATTCCCCACGAACCTTCCCCCGGTCTCTGCCTGAGGGGAAGATGCCACTGCTGCCACCTGAACCCCTCTCCTGGTCTCTGCCTGAAGGGAAGATGTCACTGCCCCCTGTAACCGACTCCGGTCTCTACCCGAGGCGAAGGTGTCATTCCCCTGGACCTCCATCCCTCCTCCCCGTCCCCACGTAACGGGTAGAACCGCCGGCCGCCCCCGCTCCCGGCGCCTCAGGGACCGACAGCTCCAGCGCGGAGCGCGGCGGGCGGAGGCGGCTGCGGGGCGGGGCGGC